AAAATTTAAAACAAAAAATAAAATAAATTTCATACCTGATCAATTTCATAATTTTTATCATAGTTTTATTGATAGCCGGAATAGCGTTATACCAGTAGATGCAATACAATTAAATTGAAAAGTTGGGGGCAATACAAACTCTGATCATTTAACAATATTAAATATTAAATAATTAAATTATATTAAATACAATCTACTGAAAAATAAAAAGTACATACCACATGTTTTCTGCTATACAACTAATAATTCTGAAACACTCACGTCAACACATTTCACACTGCATAATATGACATTGTATTCAAAATTGGCAACTTTTCACTGGCGAATAGCATCTCTGAAAAAAACGCAGCCGATATATTAAAATGTTAAACAATATATGCAAGCGCTATTTGTTATTAGAAACCACAGATATTATATAGCTAAAATTATCTCTTCATTTGGGATCAGGGTGCAGGGAGCAGAAAAACGACGACGACGAGCGGCGTTTGTATATTTTTTGATCTCTCGTATTTTATGCATTTACTCTCAGAAATAAAATATGTGTCTACATAGGGGTAGTATATTTTTCGTGAAATTAAATTTTTATTTGAAGTATAAAAGTAAATTTAACCACCAAAAAAATATGAAACCAAAATTAATTACTTTAAACATCGACGCTTTCGGGCTTCGGTGAAATTCCTGATATTGCATGTGCACTGTGGAATATATCAAATATACCTACGACTGAACTTAAGTCTGAAAATATTGAGATTTATTATGAAAAAAAACCGTACGGATCGCTTCATGTTTCTTGTTCATGTCTGCAGCTTTGCTAACTGAAATTTTGGATCGATTGCGTCTTTGCGACTACTTTGACAATCGCCACGGATTGCATTATAATTTATACTACGTCAATATCACAAAACCATAGATATTACAAATTTTTATATGAAGGAGGTCCGTGTTTGAGATTTGATCATTAAGATAATGAAATGAGATATAACAATAACAAAATACCTCATAATTTTAAAATTTAAATTACAACAATATATAAAGTACCTACCTATGATTTTAATTTTTAATTTAATAATTGATAAAGGTGGTATTTAAATATTCGAAGCACAAGCATTTTTTATATAAGTTAGTAAACAAAAAATTTATTGGAAATAAATGTGATTACTACTTTTTAGATTTAACATAAAGGTATTCAGTGCCAGACGGCATAGTAATATTCATATATTACTTAACACTTATATAAACTAAAAATAAAAATTGTTGATTTTTGCGGGACATAAAAACTCCCGTGTACTGTACTACTGTAATATGACTAGTATGTACAACACTATTTATATCTATTTAATTGTATAAATATGTTATTATTCTGCGACCTGGATTTTTTGTCGTCGTTTTTTTTTTTAGCGTATTTTTTTGTGTTGCGCGCTCGGGAACAAAAAATATGCCCCTGCTTTACCCGGGTAGCAAATTGTCTGTGGCAATAAATTTTAAATTTGAGACCAAAAAGTAAAATATGTAAGCCCCAAAAGAATAGGTAATCAAACTTACGTATACATCGACTCTTCGGGTAATATATAGCTGCAAGGCCATATCTTGATTGCAGACGCCATATCGAGGAACTTCTTTCTTCATCTAATTCTGAACTGAAAAAATCGAGATTTTTTATAAAAATGTCTTGAGTAGAATGAAATATGTGAGCAAATGTTTATTGTTGCCTTACACATTTCTCTTTTGTTCAATGAAATTATTAGAATTGTGAATCGTCCCCGATGAGTGACGACAATCGGCTTTTGCCATAGATGATAGGTATTATAATATAATATGTTGTCATCAGTTCTCGAGTTTTTGACTTCTTTGGATTACACTATACATTTTTTATTTCAAATTCCGAAACAGAATATTATTGGGAGTGTTTAAATCTATACAATGCAGAACACGGCACTCTGAGTATAGGCCATTTAGATTTTTAGATACACTAGTACACTACTGTCGCCAGTCAATTTTTAGATCCGGCATCTAACAATATTGTTTTTAGTCTTAACGGTTAAACTATAACTCAACATAAAACTCTAGAAGTGTTGAGACTTGAAAAAATTCAAAATTAGGCTTTGAAATTTACAAAAATAATAAAAAAATGGATACTTTAATCGTTCCTATAATATTCTCTCTGGGCTCGGCATTAATATGTTATTAAACAATATTATTCTATAATAGTGTACAGTCACCGATGTATTTGCTACAAAATTGTGTGGTTATAACTTATATTATACTACTACACTTTAGACTATAGTGTAATAAATAATATAATATGTTTACAGTCGTGTAGGTACCTATAACTAAGGCTCTCACATTAAAGCAAGAGAAAAAATATATCGCTTCCCTCGTACTTTCCTATATTTATTGTTTTATATTTTAAAAACTTACCCTACAAATTAAGTACTACAAGTATAGTTTATACTTAGCAGGGATCGCTGTGGGTATTTCTTAAAATAGGTAGTATATAAAAAAAAAAAATCATGAACATTTTAGGTTTGTTAGTTAGGTACACATGAATTTACTAGACCAATTTGAATTAGTTAATGCCAAAAAAGTTGTTAAATTAAGTAGGTACCTAAATAATAAGTCACATGTCACATGTCACATAATACAATGCAGATATAGTAACACATGATACAAGTGATATGCATTTCCAATAACATCAAGATGTAACAATGAATGCTAAAAACTTATACGCCATATAACAGTTAAAAATTGCATTTACTTGTTTAAATCTGTATATATTTTATATATAAGGTAGTAGGTACAATAGTTACACGATATAGACACATGAATAATGGATAAATTATTAAAAAATTGTGATTTTATATCTGTATTAAAAAAAAAATTATTTATCTGAAATTGAAAATATAAATATATATATTTTTTAGTTAAGGTTTGTAGTGTTATATTGATGTATGAACTGAAGAATACAATGTTTAGTAAGATAGGACAAGTTTACTTTGATGAATTGATTCAGTGAATCTTTTGATCATAAGAATCATAAGTCAACTTGTACATTTGTTTGTGACCCCCAAAAAATTAAATTTGTGGAATCATTTATCAAATATTCAATGAGCTGTTCCTTATCATAATTATACAATTTTAAATCAAATCACTTAATTCTAGTTCAAACATTAATATGTCTTAAGTTAGTAAACTAATTTTGAACACAAAATAATTATTTATAAGAATGGAAATATTCATTATTCAAGTAGTCACTATTAGTAAATTTGATTAACCCATCTATATTAGTAAATATACTTAACATTTTTATGTTCAACATTTACCAACACATTTACTATATTTTGTTTAGGATTTTGTGTGCACGATGTTTCCAAGACAAAAATGTATGACTATCACTATGACGTGACGCAGACACTATATGGGGACAAGATTAGGTTTATGTATACTGATCAGCATTGTAAAAAATACTTTTAAAAAGTATTTGAGTAATTACTCAAATACTTATAAAATAAAGTATATAAAATACCACAGAAATACTATCTATAGTAAAGTAGGTATTTGAAATAATTTTCAAATACAAAACAAAAAATCAATTTAATTCTGAACCATTCATTATATATTATATTAATCCAACATTTGAGTGTTGCATTTTAAGAACATTATTTGTTCAAAATATTGATTCGTCATATTCATTCTTTTTTTGTATTGTTGCATCACCAACACTAAACACTCTCTCTACTGATTCACTGCTAGGTAGTGGAGTGTTGTACTTCAAAAACACCTGAAAACTAAGTACAAATGTTTCTCTAATATTACTAGTAATAGTATAAGAAGTTTTCAACTAATCTTACTTTTTAAAGTAAGTAAATTATGCAAACATTCTAAAGTCTTTATTGGAGATGTGCCCAAATATCTATCTATTTCATCACTAACTGTTGATTTTTCCTCTCGAGAATATTGTGAAAAGGTAAAAAAGGTATATAAATTATCTTTCATTTGGTTATCTTCTACATCATTATTGTCATTATCACTGGTATGTAAGTCATAACAGGCACTTTATATTCTGGGACCAATTATTTTTTTATATCATTTTTAATCCATGGTTTTTTAAATAGTGGGTGGCAGACTGCAGCAGTAATTAAAAATTTGTCTATCAAATAATCGGCAAACCTTGTTTTCAAACCTAAAAAACAAAAATTATTATCAATAAAGTTTTTTAATTTTAGTTCATGAGTATATAAATGTAGGTACTACACAGAAGTATAAATATAAATAATAGATCAGCTGATCAAAATTGTATATTATACATCAGTAAGACCAGTAAGACTGTAAGAGCTAAGAGATACTATATATTTACTACTTAGTATATAGTATTTACCAATAAAGTAAACCAAAAACAGCTAAAATGAAAAGAAATTAAATGTGTACAATTTAAGTACTAGGCTAAATAAGATTAATATATTTAAAAAATATTTATTATTACATACCATTAAGTATGGTAGTTACCAGAGGTTTCAAATAATTAGAACTGTTTGATCACTTGTCATTAATTCATATTTATTAATTAATTCTTCAATTGTAGGTAGGAGATGACCAAAGTACATGTTAGTATCACCCAGGAGTAAATACAAGCTTATTGAAATTGGCCCCATAATTGTTTGATATTGACACATGAAATAAATATCACTTCTATTAAATCTGGAAATATTGTTCATAAAATATATAGATAAAATAATTAATAATATTTTAAGATTTACAATTTACCTGACAATAGCTAATTTGAATATTATTATTCTAAACTTAAGTTCATTATTTTTTATTTATTTATTAAGCAGCACCACTGTATCATACAGTGAATTCCAACGTGTCTCGTTGGGTGTAATTAAATAAACACCAAGATTTTGTTTAAATAAATCAGCTGATTTAGTTGAGAGACCTTGTTTATTCCACAAAGCGGTAGACTTGGCAAAAGTACTTCTTGACTGTTTTTTGTATGCAAGATTAGACAAGGCTTTTTTAGAGTCCTAGAAAAAACAAGTTATACAAATAAATTATTTATTTTGTATTTAATTTGTACAAATTAGTAATTAATAATAAAAAATTAAACAAACATAATTTATTGAAATTAAAAATTGGAATTTGGGTATACATAATAGAAAATAGTTAATGCCTATCATATTCATACTTATATCTTAGAATATTATTTTCATATATTATTATCATTTAAATTGAAAGAAAAATTTAATTTTTAAATGTATTACAACTTATACAAATTTGATTATGAGTATCAAGTGTTAAACCTACTACCTAATAGTTTTGTCCTGATCACTATACTTACTCAAAATATATTCTTTTCGATAAAAATAATTTTAGTATTTTTATAATTTAACTATATTAGGTTATCTACTTAAATAAATGTTTAATTACCATTGAAGCTGTTGAATGTAAACAACACACCCTGTATTATATAGATTATAAGCAAATTATTCACACTGTAGTACAGCAGACGCTGAATAGGCATTTTATATTTCTATAGCGTATTTGTTATATGTACTAGCCTGTAGGACGATTAGTCGTTGTTTTATATTACGCATCGGAGCACTATAGTTATTCATATCAATTATACATATTATTATATTATTACATATTATATC